GAGGCAGCTCTCCCACACACTCACTGTGTCTGGGCTAAGACTGGTCTGGGTGTTCCCAGAACGCAGCAGAAATTCCTACTCATTGTTCAGTGTGGGGGAGATGCTGAGGAGTAGTGGGAGGTGTCCCAAGGGGGTGGAAGAGGGTCTGACCCACTCTGCGCCTGAGCTGGGACCCAGAGTTGGTCCCACTGGCGCAGGGTAGTCAGAAACTCTCCCAAACACTCACTGAACCTGGAATAGAACTGAGTCTGCTAAATATGGTTTTAATTTGAGTTTTTCCAATGGCCAGGTATGTTGACCATATTTTCCTATAAATTATTGTTCATGTATGCTACTTCATCTGAAATGTGTCTATTCATTTTCCATTTCCATTTTTGGTTGGGTCTTTAAATATGGGATGCTTAATTTTTACTTTGATTGTTTATATAGTCTAGATATTAGTCCTTTGTCTGAGGAGTAGCTGGCAAATGTTTTCTCCCACTCATTCTGTTCATGGTTTCCTTTGCTGTGCAGAAGCTGTAATTTGACATTACCCCATTGGTTGATTTTTGGTATTATTTTTTGTGCAACTGAGGTTCTGTTTAGAGTCTCTGTTTTTGCTTATTGCTTCAAGGTTCTGACTTATTTTGTCCTGTTGCAGATTGTTACTATTTAGATCTTTGATCCATTTTACTTTTTACATATTTTTAAGTTTTTTAAGTTTATTTTAAAGAGTAAAAGAAAATGTCAGGAACAAAAACATAAGCAAACACAATTGACAGTACCAGTGAGACAGTGTTGAAAAACAAAATTAAAAATTTAAAATGGCTGTTGTATTGACTGTTTTTATCATCAAGTCTGTTATTCAGATTAGTATATATAGGTATACATAGTTGGTCAAATCATTACACACCCATGCTTACTTTCAATAAGCATTATTTTTTCTAGTCTTTTTTCTTTATACCTTTTTCAAAAAGGTATTCTATTGGATAAGACATTAAAAATGGCAAACATTTATAAGAACAAGATGAGAGGCATTCAACTGTGGTTTTCATATTTCACTTTATCTTCTAAAATATAGTTGCTCAGATTATAAGTAATAGCATATAAAGTTAGTGAAAGTAAAAATTTTAAACATTAACTTCTACCTTAAAACACTGATGAAAATGCAAACTACTATCATCTCAGCTATTCTGAATATAACATATTTTCTCCCTTACTTTTTCCCTATCCCTGATCTTTACTGTTTATTCCTCATGTTCAGGTTTTTCCATTTTAGGGTTTGTTTTTGTTTTTTTTTTTTCAGAACTGGGGATTGAACTCAGACCCTTGCACTTGCCAGGGAAGCACTTATTCCACTGAGCCATCTCCCCAGCCCATTAGGTTTTTCCATTTTAGTATCTATCATTCCTTTCACATTTTATTTATTCTTTCAGGTTCTTATGCTAGGAAGACAGTACAATATTTAGAAATGTAAGTCTGATTTACTTCACTTGTCAGTATAGCCTCTAGTTGCATCCATTTACCTATAAAAGCCTCAAGTTGATTTTGGACAATATTTTGAACATATAAACAATGAGGGAATCCCTTTTTGTCCTTGTTAGTCCAGTTTTATGTAAGTATATTTACTTAGTTGTTAATCTGTCTGTGGAGAATTTGAAGATTTTTGTTCATGCTGATACTGGGCAGCTTCATACTTCTTCAACTAAGGATGTCCTTGTTATTTTCTCCTTAATATGAAAAACAGTACTTTCTCTTTAGCCCTACTGGTGGCAAACAACAGTAATACCAAGCAATATGCCTACACATTAGCTTTATATATCGCCAAAGTTAATGAAGCAAAGAGCTCATACTTACAGGTTTCACTCAAACCAGTTACATTACATTGGAATTTCTGCAAGGTGAAGAGCACTATAAGGAAGAGATGCAACACCCTACAGCAAGCCAGGCAAGCCCATATATGCTCTGGGGCACAGGAAATGCAACAAAGTGAACCTTTACTTCCTTTTTTATTACCCAAATAATTACTTTTTCGCAGGTGCAGATGGAGACAGAGTCAGGCTGCTTAGTTCAAGTTGGCGTAGATCTTACTGTTGCATCCAGGCTGGCCTTCTACTGGTGATCCTCTTGCCACAGCCTCTCAAATGCTGGAAGTATAGGTGTTTTATACCATATCTAGCTGTCAGGAAGTAATTTAGGAATGGCTATCAGCATCTCTTTCAGAGAATAAAAACCTATGGCTCCACAGAGCTCATTTAGTGAGAAAATATCAAGAATACCAGAACACAGAACATGCCCAAGAGGATTCAGTAACAGCCTATTCCCTGGACCCATACTAACAAGGGAGCTGGGGAATTTAGTTTTCAGTGATAAGTCCCTCTGAAGATAGGTATAGGACAAACAAGAGAGAAAAGGTCATGGATCAGATGTCAGAGCAATGACCAGACCACAGGAAGTGAGTGGCCATGCATCCGTGCCTACTATATGCAGCACTTCCAAAATGTAATTACTCCAGCATCTTGTAGATTTCCCTTTCCCACCCACATGCCAGTGAGAATAGAGTCTGTCATCTTGACCCAGAACTCAATCTCATACTTATTGGAAGGCTACAGGTGTTCCCTTTAACTGAATCTATGACACAAATGATTTTCACTAATTCTTCTCAGATGTAGGAGCAGGAAAGCTTTACTCTTGCTGCATAATAAACTACCAAAACTGTGTTAACTGTTTGTATCCACTGCCATCTCCAGAGCAGTCCTTCACAAGAATGAAAGGAAAAGAAGGGAGCTAATACGAGTTTAGTTGGACCATTGAGACATTTAACTAGCTTAGCAAATTTATGGCAGGTGAGCACATATTTACTGTAATATCCTTAACCCTCAAAAAATGTTCAAAGATAAGCAGTCTGTGTGATTTGGCAGCTACAGTTCTGAACACCTAAGGTAAGGACTTCTTTTTTCTTTCAGAGAAATGTGTAATCTTGAGTGGTTATTAAGTAAAAAAATAAAGTTCAAAGCCAAACCTAAGAAAAGCCACCAACCCTTCTCTACTAGATTTTCTAGTATGTCATGGTCAATTGCAATTGTTGGTGTGCTTTGTTTTACTATTTGAAATTAAGGATGAACCAATTAAGACTGAAATAGAGTTTGTACTGCAGCAAACACATGAGTATCTGCTTTGGACAGGGATCTCAATACTTTTATTTATAAACTGTGTATTATGTTAGCCTCTGGCAATGTGTTTTGGTACCTCTTAGGGGATGAATGCCCTAAAATGTCATATAAGACTTAATGCTATCCTTGTAGCATTTTCTAATAGCTTTGAACTGCTAAGGAAAAATGACCTCCAATGAAGCCCATGGAATCCAAATATATGTGCTACATATATTAATTATAGAAAGGTGTTTAATTCTCACATCATTATCTGCATTCTCTGAGTTCACCTTCTTTGTCCCATTCCATGCAGCCTGATGCTCACTGCTGTCAGTCTTAGGAAGTTGTCTCTGTCAGTTTCTCCATGCGTATCGCCACTGTTGGATAATGGCAGTGTGAGTAAACACCTAAAGATGAAGCTGTGGGAAGACCATTTTTTTCCTCTTACATACAGGCAGGATGACATTGAAATGATATCTGCAGCTACCTGAAGGGGATTCAATATATACAATAGAGCTTAAGTTTGGGGTCACAGTTTCAAAGAACATGGTTGACATGTCAAATCTACACAGATAACCTAGATGTGTACATATAATTGCCACAGGGAAGACTCTGGGTTCAGACATAAATTATTTTATAGTACTTCTCATTTTCAAAGGGCAGAATATTCTCAATATTCAGGAATATGTTGTTGCTATTGGGTAGTGCAGATCAGGAATTTCAGTTACTATGCCCCATCAGGAGCTTTCTAGGAAACAAGCTTTTCCTTTCACTCCCTATACTCTTTCTATCACAAATGCTCTCAAATTCGAGAAAAAAGAGTGAACATCTGGATCCCAGTCAGAATGCACAAGACTGTTGGTCCTGGTTACTACACATCGTTTGTGTTCCTTTGTTGCTTTTCATAATTTCTCTCAAACAAATACTCTCATGATTTGGTGTATGGCTTGTATTTTAAGTATTTCTGAGACTTTGTAGGATCACAACATAGCAATGTGTTTATGAATGTGTTTGTAAAGTTAAAAGTTTTGTCCTAAATGTAGGAGCAGAACACAACATCACAAAATTTCAGACACTACAGAGTCCTTGTACCTCTTGTTCATAGAGAGTTTTCGACTGGCCAAGAGAAGGAAGGTAGACGAGCTAACATATTTTTAATTAGGGCTGTCTCCAGCCTTGAATGCCACTCATAAATGTAGATATAGGATAAATGGGTAAAGAAATACAATTACTTTATTTAAGTCATAGTTCTGTGCCAGTTTGTTCTGTTTTGTTTTATGTTGTGTTTTTGGTAATGGGAGTAGAACTTAGAACATTGTGCTTGCCAGGTAGGCTCTGTGCCACTGAAATACAGCACCAACCCCATGTGCTAACTAGAAATTTCATATTCAAAAATAGGAATATCTGAACAAAAGTCAACTGAACATATCAGATGCCATTTAATTATTGTGCTTTACTTAAAATTAAATAAGACATACCATAATGCTTCTTTAAAACAGTAAGAGATTATCTTTGTGGAGATATATTTGTTAAGATTTAGTGTCCTTAATAGTATTTCCATGTAGTGATCTCTTAATGTTAACTATTACTCTTGTCTCACTTGTCCATTTGGGTGAATTTTTATTAAAACAGTTAAGTATCAAAATTTCAGAAATAAAAGTATAAGTGAATTATTAATGAAAACATCATCTCATAGATTCAATATTGGGTATTTTTAAGGAACTTCTGAAGTTACAAAATTACATTCTATTTTAGGAAAGCTAACTGGGAATTCATCTTGTTCTATTGAACAATAAAACCCACACAGAATGGAGGTCTGGAACTCCACTTTAGGAAGTGGCTTCATCTTAGTGGGGATACTGAGTGACAGTGGGTCCCCTGAACTGCTCGGTGTCACAATTGCAGTCCTGTACATATTGGCCCTGATCAGCAATGGACTGCTGATCCTAGTCATCACAATGGATATCCGACTCCACGTGCCCATGTATCTCCTGCTTGGGCAACTCTCGCTCATGGACATGCTGCTTACATCAGTTGTCACTCCGAAGGCTCTCATGGAGTTTCTTCACAGAGAAAACAGCATCTCCTTTGGAGGCTGTGCCCTTCAGATGTTTCTGGAGCTGACACTGGGTGGAGCAGAGGACCTCCTTCTAGCTTTTATGGGCTTTGATAGGTATGTGGCCATTTGTCATCCTCTGAACTACATGATCTTCATGAGGCCTAGAGTCTGCTGGTTCATGGTGGCCTCATCCTGGATCCTTGCATTCCTATGTGCTCTGCCATATAGTGTATATACCATGCACTATCCCTTCTGCAAATCCCGGAAGGTCAGACACCTATTCTGTGAAACTTTTCCTTTGCTGAAGCTGGCCTGTGCAGATACATCCAGATATGAGCTCATGGTTTATGTGATTGGAGCAGCCTTCCTAATTCCCCCTCTTGTTGCCATTGTTGCCTCCTACACATTAATTCTCATCACTGTGCTGCAAATGCCCTCAAAGGAGGGGAGGAAGAAAGCACTTCTCACCTGCTCCTCCCACCTGACTGTGGTAGGGATGTATTACGGGGAGGCTACATTCATATATGTTCTACCCAGTTCCTTCCACAATCCCAAACAGGACAACATCACCTCTGCCTTCTACACAATTGTTACCCCAGCCTTGAATCCCCTCATTTACAGCCTGAGGAATAAGGAGATCTTGGGGGCCTTGAGGAGGATCCTGGGAAAATATATGGTACAAATACACCCTACCCTCTAGGTAGATCAGCAAAATTAATTCATACTCAATGTTGAAATATTTATCCCATGAATCCAATTCTCATAGTAAAATGAATATAGTGGAAAATGTGTCTTTTAATACAGAAGTACAGAAGTGTAAACCTGTTTGTCCAGTGCTCTTTGAATTTTATAGTATATGGGTCATACTATTTAATATTAGTCTTCACTATGATTATTTTTTATTTAATTTAAAAATATGGATGTATTTGGTACAGGGTCTCACTATGCATCTCAGACTTCTATTCATCCCCCTGATTCAGTACTCCAGCGATGAGATTACAGGCAGTGCCACTACTCCCAGTCTGGTGACCACCTCTGTGTTTCTGGGTAGAGGCTGGTACAGCCAGTTGTGCTGCATTGATCCTGGGTCCTTTTTCTTACTTAGGTAGGTGCTTAGATCACTCAGCTCCCTCCTTGGGCCTATTCCCTGTTTTTACATATTACTATTTCTCTAGGTAACTACTTTTTGGAGAGTTTCTAATGTTATCATAAGTGTGTACATTACCTTAGAGATTTTAGATCACACTGGGCCAAGATAGGAACCTGGGAAAATGATTGCTTATGTATAGACTAAGAAAGATTTAGCTGTTTTTGAGAATAAATGTTGAGCCTTGAACAATTTTTAGATGAACTAAGCATATTTAAAGGTGAGATGTACACTGACAATTTTACCTAATGTTTCAGTTAGTGGTAATGCATGTGTTTTTTTTCAACATATGTACTACTTTCTTTTATTCAAGCATTGCTGTTATAGATGTGCCAGTGTGTGTGTGTGTGTGTGTGTGTGTGTGTGTGTGCGTGTGTTTCAATGGGAATATTTTCTAGAGGTAATAGTTTAAATATTCACTGCAAATTAGGACAATATAAGAAAGGACCATGGTATAATCATTAAAGCAAACAAAGCCATATAGTTACTTTTACACTTTTCTAAACCTGTCTGGAACTTTTTTTTTCTTTTTAAAATAATTTTATTAAGAAACTAATAGCAATGAGACAGTTTCAAAACCGATTATTAGCACAGTTTCAATAATTAACGCATTGCATATTATTGTCTTAATGGTTATTCATTTTACAAGATGCAGACATGATATCCTGTCCCCAAACACTATTCAAACAAATCTCGCTATTGATTAAGAGAATACAGCTGTATATATATCCTAACTATTTTGAATATACAGATACAAAGTGGTCTTTCATTTATATTCCCCTTTTTAATTTAGTTTTGTCAGAGATGGGGTATTCCATTATTGCTTAAATATTATAGGTGTATGAATCCAGCAAAATATTCCAATGTAGTCAAGTAGTCCATAATAGTAGGACTGGCAATGTCAAAAGTTGTTGACTTGAGCTCAGCATATTAATATGGCTTTACCTTTTATACTTCATTTTTATATTTTTCTGCTGGATGGTTAAGACCAACATAAAGTAAGACTTCTATTACAAGAAATGTAACTTTTGTATCTGCCAAGGCCAGTCAGATCCCCTCAGGATTTAACCTGAAACCCAGTATTGCAGTTTGTAGATCCTTTGTTAGTGTCAGCCATGTGAATGAGTCATGGCCATTGCTTTACCCATTTGCCTGAGGGAATGTTTTCTCTCCATATGCCTCTCCTTAGGCACACTTTACATCATCAATCACTTTCTTCTGTGGTCCCATAATCTCTTTAATAAGAAAATTTGAGACACAACTGAGTTACATGATGTTACAGTACAGGTTCCCTATGTCCTGAGTCTTCACTAACCTTGAAAGGCTAGGACCAAAATGTTGGCTGTGCTTGCAGCCCTTCTTTTTCTCTAATTTTTGGTCTGCAAACTTAGATTGATAATCCTCCAGAAGAGAAGCTTATTATTATTACCTTACAGCATAGGCAGTTGAGCTT